CCCTTATTATCATCTTTAAAACCTTGACTTGATATATTTGAAATCAACAAGTTTTGAATCTTTGGATGTTGATAAAATTTCAAGAAATCAGTAGCATCTTTTGAACCAAATGTTATCCTGTACAGAATCCCTGGAAGTAGCACCACTGACGAACTAGTCAACTTATAAACCGGTAACGTAACCTTCTTTTGCGGGAACTGAGCCTGATGGTCCAATTTAACTCCCATTTTGTCTCGAATGTCTTGTAAATTTCTTGTAAATTCCTTTGAGATCCAAAATATTGCCACTAAAATTTAAAGTGTTTTGATTTTGATTTTGTTGATTTTTCGGTTGATTTTAGAGATAACAATTTCAAAATACCAGAAAATCCGGTTTGGTGGGGAATTTTTTAACTATGAGATTATGTAAGTGTTGTATGCGCTGCTGAGTAATCAATATAAGTAAATTTAATTAAAAAGGTCAATTATTCAAGTAAATTACTAGGAATATCTTGAAATTACATATTTATTTTGAGAAGTTTAGTATTAAATCATATATATATATATTCAATATTAACCGGTAATTGAAGAAAGAAATGATCAATTGTGATTGTTGTATGAAATTGTATGAAATTGTATTAATTTGGTGTATCTCAGTGATTCAAACATAAGTATACTCCTCTTTATATGGATTATCACCAATAATTTTCCTATACTGTGATTTATCTGCAGGAACTTCACTATAAATTGAAGAAGATTGATCTGATTCATGATATTGTTTCAATTCCAAACAAACATTATCCAATTGTTGAGAAACAGTTTTATTAATCTTAGCCTTATATAATAAATCACCAGCTTCTAAACCTTCTTGATTATCATCATCAATTGTAGCATCATATTTGAATTTTTTATATGTTGAGGATCCAATTAGTGGACGACGTTTATAATTAGTATTATATTTAATTAATTTCATCCAAAATGGTTGATTTCTTGTTGAATGATCTTGATTGATGTATAAATCCATAATATCTAACACAGCATTTGTTCTATAATTACCAACGATTGTTTCTACTCTATCTTTAAATATCAAAGTTTGTCTTTTAGTTTTTTCTTTAGCATCTTTAAATGTTTCTTTTTGAATTTCCCAATCATGACGATAAAGTTGAATTAAATTATCTAGGGAATCAAGCATTTTGAAAAGTTTTTTTTAATGATAGCTTTGAACTAATATGAACATAATCATTGAATATATAGAAGTTTGAAATATATCATCACTAGATATATATAAGTATCAATATTGATAAAATTTTTAAATTCGAAGATCTCATGGGTATCATTGATTGGAAAACCACATTGTAGATCGATTTTGCAAAAAACCCTTACAGCTGACAATCAAATATTTTCATTAAAATACACTTCAAAGTAATTCCTTACCAACTAGGACTTTGTTTCAGTGACTTTCTTTCCATTATAAATTGTGTCAAAGATAACTTTTACACAAATCCGATCGGAAAAGTGCCAATTTCCTTTAAATTTCGAATTTTTGAGGAATTGATTCAAATTCCAAAGAACCAAAAAACGATATCAATATTAACAAACAAACTTGATCAAAACATCATCAAAATCAACTATAAAAGACTAAAATAATGGCTCATCTACAAGAGAAAGGAACATTCTGGGGCAAAGTGCGCTCTTCAACAAATAAAATATCTTCTTCATTGGCAAATTTATCAATCAGATCAGAACATGATGGTGATAGTGTTAATTCAACATTGATTCATACAGCTTTAGTGAACCATTACATCAAAAAGAATGAACAGTTCCCTTCATGGCTTGGAGAAGAACAACATGAGCCTCAACAACAACAACAACCACAACAATCACAACAATCTTCAGCCCAAGAACAAATTAGACAACCAGTTTATACACAACGTTTCCAACCTCAACAATCTCATCAACAACAAGCTGGAACTTCAAGATTTGCTAGTCGGTTCCAACAACAACAGCAACAGCAACAACAACAACGTCAAACCAACCAATCACCTCAATTATCCAGTAGATTTGGTTCTTCAGTGGATAGTTCGTCTGCTGGTTCCAGATTCAGTGGGAACAGTGGGAACGGGCATGGGCTTCCGGGTGGTGGACCTCAAAGAACAGACTCTTCGAGTGGGAATGCTATGAAAGACAGACTAAAGAGAAATAACTACAGAAGTAACTTTAATGTGTGATTAATATTCATGGAATGTGGTGGTGGTTATGGGATTAAATCCGATAAATTATGTATATAAATCTTGATCAATAAGATGTGTAAATAAGATTCAAACTTAAGTAAGAAAAACCTGCTACAAAGATGGACAAATGAATAGACACATAGAGATTCTGCTAAGCTAAACTCAAATAGATATTGTGATTATGTGCTGTTACTGAGAGATAATTATGATGAGAAGTTTCTCCGTTAAGATCCGAACTTTTTGATGGAAAGGTTATATCCTTCAGCAATCCAAGTGAAAAGATACTGAATGTAGAATTATATATGGGACTGCTAGTACTTCCTGAAACTTAAGCTTTAGTCAAGATGAAGATTGAGTAGTAATTTAGAAAATTATGGACCCTGCCCTATTTGAACCAAAATTAATACGAAATATTTTTCTCAGTATGCTAATCAATTATAATATTCTCATAAATAGCTTTAGGATAAACCTGCAGCTATAAATTGTTGATGGTCCTTCCCAAATAATACATATAACTCTTAAATTATGGTAAAGTAATACTACTTAAATGGTTTCAAAGCTTAAAGACCTGTTTGTTAGAAATAGACCTTCTTGTGAAATGGGCAATAATCTAGCTGCAGCACAGACAAAAGGATATAACGCAATTCTAAAATTGTCAGATGAAGAGTTAATTGGAACGCTATGTTTGGAGCCAGCTGGATTAAAGAACAAACAATCAACTAGAATGTATCAAAGTTATCAATCTGACCGTTTTGTTGCTGCTCTACTTGACCCAAGAACTTCTTTTGAATACAAATTAAAAGAGATCTGTCAAATTCTGGGACCTCAAAATGTTGAATATAAGAAATATTCTGTTAAGTTAAAAGTGAAAGCTCATCCTACAAAAGCACTGAGTGAAGACGATATCAATAATATAAAAGCTTATCTTGATAATAGTGAATCAGGAGAAGATATTTACATATTTATGAAGCCAGATTTAAATATCTCAAAGTTTTTAAATTATTTGAATGACTTTGGTTCTTTAAAATGTGATAAAGATATTGATGATGATATTTGCCAAATTAACCGTGAACAAATTCCAAAAGTGCTAATATATATATATAAACCTGAATTCTTTAATTGTTTCATTAAATTAATAAATTTCTATTCAAACTCATTGGAATCAGGGTCAAGTTATTGTTCACGACATGTTTTGACTGGTAAAGTTGTTCAAAGACAAGACTCAAGCTATATGAGCATTAAAGAAACAGAACCTCATCGTAACTGTGCTTACTTCTTCAGGCCATTTAAATTGGACCATAACAAATGTATCAATGATGAGCTTTTGAAAAGATTTTCAAAAGTTTTCCAGAGAGTTGAGTTTAGAAATACCAAATCAAGTAACCACAGATTTTATTCGATATATGATATGGAATGTGCAAATGATAAGATAAATATCAAGACCAATGATAAGATAAATATCAAAAATGATGATAACTTCAATAAAAAGGATTCTTTACCAGAATATTCAAGTACTCAATGAGAGGATATAGCTGAACTAAATTTATATTATTTCATACTAGCATCTTGTGTTGTATCTGAGACTATTCCATAATATCAAGGAAAATCATGTTACAAGGAAGAATGATCCATAAAATTCATAATCATAGAATTCATAACCAACAGTTGCAACTAATTATAACATTTTTATTTGTTCGCTGGTAATTGAACTATGAGGGGTATTTTACGACTACTATCTAATGCTTAAGAAGTTGTTGTTGAGCTCTAGCCACATCTAACACTTGACATCCTCAACACCTGGTAATCCACCAGATCCTATTGTTAGCCATAAGCCATAGACCATAAGGCATAAACCATGGATTGTCATATATTGATAATTAAAGATAGAAACCTTTGTCTCCACTATTCTATATTGAGTCTTCACTTGCTAACCAAGACACATGTGTCCTTGATCATTAAGTCACATGTGAATATCATACTAATTATTTGCACATGATTCATTATATTTTCAAGTCTTTTAACAAAGTATATCTATTCACTACAGGAAGGATACTCTTATCATATATTCAAATTATACCAATTATAATCCTAAATTAAAATCAACTATATTAACTATTACTTCGCCATTTCTGAATTTCATACCATTTCAGGGAATATTGATTCCAAAGCCGATCTCGTCAATAAATCAGCTGAGGGTAATCGCTGAGGGTAAATATCGAGACATTATGCAACAAAATAATGCACAAGTGGAATCAGGATGTTGATAGGCTATAGAGGATCAAATACTAAGTATATGAGAGAAAAAATTGGGTTCTCTAATTATAATATTACCGAAACTGTAGCTATATAGTAAGATAATTCAGACATCTAATCCTTGGATAAAGTAGTTCATTGATGCACTTAATGGCTGTTACTTTGTTAGTACATCTTGTATAACAAATATGATAATTCATTAAATGATTGAATATATACTCAAATAATGTATAGTTATATAGTTTTCCTGAAAGCGCCTAGATCATCCTAGATCATTACTTTCTTAAAACCTTAGCCACAATAATACTAGTTAAGGTCATCATTATTACACCTTTGTAACACCTTAGCATCCTTTGTAGTTGACTAATATCACTTTTACTTATTCTCACAATATTACGTGTTGGATATACCCATAATAACAATAGACTTTTAGCGTAGCTGATCTGTGATGTAGAAGATCTCTTTAATCAGCTTATCCACAATATTACAGCAATTCATCTTATAAGAATGAATTCCATGAATTTCTAAAAGTATATTATGAAATTTGAACCCAACAATTCTTTAATATCAATCTTTTTTAATAAATTTACGTCTATAGTAATATGGAGCGAGTAGGCGGGTATCATCCGTATCCAACAAAACGATTGTAATAATATTATGCAGCTCAGATCTTTAATATTTTTTCTTCAAGGAGTTTTAAGTTTGAACTTTAAACTACCAAGATGGATCTACGGTTTTTTCCCTTTTTCGAAATTCGCATGCGCCATTAATATCAACCAGTTAATAATTAAATTATTAAGTATGAATTTAATCAAATTAAATATCATTATATTATTAATATTTGGAGAAAGAATATGTAAGATCACGTAGGTGTGGTGTGAAGTGGAAAACAGCTTGCTTTTTGACGTACAAATATTTATAAGTTCCAAAAGCAAGCGCCTCTTGTCCAGGATATAGGATATAGGACATTATTACCATGCATTACAATTTACGATCGACGTTAAATTAATTAATTTATATATAATTCAATGATTTACTATATAATTAATTTTTATAACGTCCAGCTAGTATAAGGCCACTTTGAGGCTGCACAGTGCACATGTTCGAAAGGACAAATGAAACAAATTACCAAGAGCTTTATAGATGATCTCCTAATTAATGCGTAACAATAAATGATGCTGCCTAATCAGGAGTAATAATATATATAATGCAAGAATATTTTTTAAGATTTATAATTTTGGACTGAAAAAATTGATCTTGCCGTTGTTTGTGTAGTACATGTACGTCTTGGTGAACAGAAAGAAACTTTGTTATTATTTAGTGCCCAATTTAAAAGCTTTAACTCGTCAAATTATAAATATGGTTTTACATTAAAGAAGGGAAACCGACCCAATAAAGTCTAAAGATTTACAGGGATCAATTACGTACCAGCAAGTTGCAAGCTGTACCATCAAATTAGACGGAATTATATATATTAAATGATCAAAAATACATGATTTGAGTGCATATTTTGATTAATTACCGCTTATATATATACGAATTATAGTACGTTACGTCTATATAAAGTAAGCCATGCAGGTAATTATAACGGGCCGCCTAGCTGCTAGTGTGTTAAAATAGAAATCATAAAATATATAATAATTTATAAAATA